CTATCAGGTGGACTAGCTGCACCAATCCTCTGGTTACTACAAAGCCTGCCTACCATAGCCCCTGCTGGTTCACTCTACTTCTAAATAAATAACCCTGCCAATGTGACCCTGTATGGAGTGTAGTGTTCCCCTACCCAAGGCTGTGAGGATCTGTGACTAATAAACTGCTGCCAATCTTATCTGTCCAGTTTTGGGTATCACATATTTCGCCATCTCACACTATTTAGGGTGAGATATCCCTCTATTCCCAGCAGGTAAGTAGGAGGTAATCAGAATAATATGGAGTATCTAAAAGGAAGGGGAATGAAGCAGGAACAAGAAAGGAGAATATTAAAGAAGAACTATAGAGACACTGCCTAAAAACAAAAAATGTGTCTAGTCCTTTAGGCAATAATAGAATTAATTAGAAGATTAAATTTAAAAACTGGCACAACTGAGGAAAAAATACTATTTTCTATAAATTACATGTTTTTATTGCAAAATTTGAATACAAATAACATTTTAAATAACATCAAGAAGCATTTTCTTAGATGAAATATTTTAAGAAAGATAGAGATGTCAGTTTGTATAGGAACATCATAGACTTTCTAAAGATGTTGTAATATTCACCCTTATCTTTAGAAATATGGAATCAGAACTGTGAACAGTTTTTCCTGCTGGTTCTGTTGAATTTCCCTTAAACCAACAATCACCAAAGGTATGCCAGTGTGAACAGAGTACTTCTCTAAAATGAAACCAATAGGGGGCTTGTTCCAAGAAATGCTTCGCTAGGTAAGCAGGCTAAATGTGCTGAGCAGCAGTTTAGAGGCACTCTGCTATGTTTCCTTTTTATTTACTTATTTTTGTTTGTTTATGTTTTCAGAAAACATAGCCTCTGAAGTCCAGGCTAGTGATAATTATTCAGATCCTCTCAAAAGCACAGTTGCTTTACCCAAAGGCACTGTCTTTGTAGAATTGAAGTCTTTAGATTGAACTACTCTTGGTATAAATTCGTTCTTTAGATTAAAAAATAAAAAGGCAAATATTAAATTTATTATGACTTCTGTTTGATAAAAAATGAAGAACTTGATACCAATTAAAAGATTCCATAGTCTATTATTTTTTATAATGCTCACCCTCATTTTAATGTAAGATTTCAGCTTGTACCTTTTTTGAATAAGAGAAGGAAGAAAGTGAGAAACTTAAACAATAATGAAACTCTCCTAAGGAAATGAAAACATGATGAGGCTTCCACTAGATGTCATAATTTTTTGATAACTCTCCTAAAACTCTCTTTTATTCATTCCCATTCCTCTGAAACAACCTATTATTTTGTTCTCCTATAACGTTTTATTTAAAGCTCCTCTAAAAACAGGTATTAGATTGAAACACAGTGAATTATCCATGTGGTGTTTTTTTTCTGATTTTATACTTACCCATCTTTATATCTCTAGCATGGCGGCAGGCTTTAAGTAGATATTCAAAAATATTTATCGAATTTTATTGACTGTGCTGTTTGCATTGTTAATTAATGCCAGTGGTGTTCAGGGCCTTTTGTCTCTTAGCATCTTCACCTACAGTCATTAGCATCTTCACCTACAGTCCCACTCAAAGATCACAGGACCAACAAGAGCATCACTACAGGAAAAAAAAAATACTTTAAAAACTATTTGGCTTAAGAGGAAGTCATCTCTAATCTAAAAGGGAAAGAAGAAAGGACCTTTGTCATTGTAAATGATCATGATGTCAACTGGTTCAGAGACTCGGTTCCTTCTTGGGTTTAGAACATGTTCTCAACTTGGCCCCTGACTTTTGTCTGACTTTTAGAATGCCTGAACACAAACTGATCTTATTACTCATCCTTTTTTTTTTTTTTTTGTGCCACGCTCACCCTGCAAGTCCAATTAGATATGTTTTTCTTTGCCAAGCCACTCTCTGGGCTGAGAATGAAGATTCCAAAACAATAAAAGTAAGAGTTGTGTTGGTGGATTGAGCCTTCTTTGTCAAAACCAGCAGCCATATCACTTCCCAGCAGTCTTGCTTTTCAACTCTTTTCCTCGTGTTTCATTTAACTATATCAGTACTCAGTAGTGTCTTACTGAGTTCTATTACCACTTTGCTTAATTCTTCAATTTTCTCTTCCTTAATTGTGCCTAGGCATGCTTTGCATTCAGTCAGTCTTTAGTTCATGGGACCCTATTTTCAGCAAAGAAAAGTCTACATCTGTGAAGAGGCCTTGAGGGGCTGTGGCCATTGAGCTCACTTAGCCCAGTTGAATCTAAAATGGATCTCTTAGAAACACAAATGGGAGCAGAGCAAGCATGGCATGGAGAAAAAAAGGATTATGGAGATGTTAGTGGAATTTCATATATAGGTACCAGAGACAAGTTCTACCTAATGATTTGTATCTAAATCCCTCCATTACAGTTTTACTCCTCAGCCTTACAAAGCTTTTCCACCTATTAAAATACTGTTTACACAAATTTTGATCAGTTACGTCTCAATGTGAATGTCTTTAGCACAGTATTTCCCCAAAGCACATTTTAATAGTGGAGAGGGACTATTTCTCACAGGTAGCTGCGTACCTGAGGCATCTGGGGAGGATTCCCAGAGGTGAGATAAGTAGAGCAGAAAGGAATAGCAGGGAACTCTGGCAAACAAAACTTAAGGTTTTCAGGAAGAATTGCCTTGCATTTTCATGTTGCTTAATCTCCCCATCTTGGTCTTATATGGAAACAATAGTAATGTGTATGCTCAAAAAAGTTAATTTACTCTTAAGTAAATTACTTTAATATTGGAAAAGGGTTTTGCAAATTACTATGCAATTCTTAAGAATGCTGGAGTTTCCTACTGGTTATCCTACCTGAGGCAGCATACTCTAGGCAGTTGGTATTTTAAACAGCCAGCACTTTCCAAAAGACACAAAATGTCATTGTCTTAGTTCTGTGCTGCTCTCCACATATAACTAACTTAGACCTGGTACTCTTATTCTTCACTTTATCACTCTTTGTAGATTAGCTGCCCTTCACTGAGATCTTTCTTGTTCAATCTATCAAAGGTATATACATGTACGTGTGTGTGTGTGTGTGTGTGTGTGTTACCTTAGAGTTTAGCACTTATTTGATTTACTAAACATTCACAGGAATTTTTAACTCAAATTTATTAACCCTAGAAGTAAGCATTTATTTTTTTTCTTCATCTAATAAGAAGTCCTCTAAATCAATATCTAAATGACTCATATATTCTTTTACCATGATCAGTCACTAAGGTTTTTTGTGTTTCACCTTCTATAATTTAACTGATTCTTATTCTTTGACATTTTCAAAGCAAGAACAGCCTTTTTGAATTCATTAGCGGAGTCCTTAGCTGGATACTTGCCCCCTGTGAATTCCGGCCCTTCACAGTTCAACTTTCTCCAGCACATAATTGCAAGTTCTACATCGCTCCCCTCTGATTATTACTTTTAAAAATTGCCTCTGTTGATTACCTGCGTTCTTTCAGTAAGGCCCTGTGAGACTCCTCTAATTTTTGAAGCTTTGCTGGATTCCAGTTCACCACCAGGATAAGAAGAAAATGAGAACATTTTTGTCGCTTGCTATGAGTAAGTAGCTTAAAGCAATCTCTCTCCAAATGTCCTTCTGCCTCCATTTCCCACCTGCACCCCAACACACAGGCACCAGGAAATCTCAGTAGGACAGCCAAGTGTTTCATGCAGAAGCAATTAGACAAAGTTATAAGATTCTCTTCACCTTCTCCTCCATGTTCCCCGCAGCTTATGCAGCCTTCAGGGCAAGCAGGAAACAGTGGAGAAGTCACCAAGCTCACAGAAGCTCTCGCAGCAGGCAAATCATTTCAGTGTATCACATTTAACTAATTCACTAGTTAGAGATCAGGCCTGCCAACATACTGAATCTTTCTCCCTCTGTAGTTCGATATTAACACTTAATAGAAACTTTACCTATAAACTCCCACTTTGGGAGGGGGTGTGTTTTAGGCTCCAAATGACTGGCAGTAAATTCCTTATCAAAAAATTTATGGAATTGCAGTGAGATAACCTTATTTTTGCAAAAAAACCTTTTAATATTAATATTATATTGAGTCAGTCTTATTTACTTATAAATTATGTTTGAACGCCAGTTTGCAATTTGTCCAGCAGGGTGGTCTATTTAGTACTGACAAATGGTGACAAAGAATAACTAAGAAATTTAGAATGTGACACCATAATTTCTCCTGGGACATCCACATCAGCAGTCTTTAAACTGCAAGAAAATTAAGAAAATGACAAAAGAGGAAAAAGAAGAGGAAAGTCTGGCAGTTGGCAGCTAGAAGCTGACAGCCAAAGAAGCCAGGCTGGGCTGTTAGAAACTGAACATGAACCAAAAACACAAAACAAAACTTTCACAGACAAACCCATTGTGTGACCTTGGAGGAACATAACAGTGACCCAGAGACTCTATGATGAAACTAGCTGGAAAAGACACCATGGACCCACAAAAATATGTATCTCCTCTTCCAGCTAACATGAATGACCACTGTTTGTTCACCAGTAACGGCTCTAATTTCACATTAATCCTCTCACCTCTAGCTAAAAGTTACCAAGATACCCAATCACAGCATTACCCCTGCTTCCTGACAGCCTGCAATTCCGAAAAGGCCACTGCTTTCTGTACAACCTCCTTAGAATCATCTTGTACATATTCGAGTTCCATAATAACCTCTTCATAACTCTCTTTTACCAAGATGCTGTTTGTTTGCTCTTATGTGTATTCTTCTTTGCTGCTGGAAGCTAAATAAACCCAACTTTGTTGGAGTGCAGGCCTGCATCTAGAGGTCATTGGTTGATGTGTTTAAAAATGTAATACTTGTTATAAACTTAATACTTTTGTACTTCCAGTAATTCATATGCTGAAACTATACCCTCTACTGTAACAATATTAGAAGGCGGGGTCTTTGGGAGGTAATAAGGATTAGATGAGGTCATGAGAATTGAGCCCTCATTAATGGAATTTTTGTCCTTATAGGAATCCCAAGAGAGCTTGCTTCCTCTATCTGCCATTTGAGGACACCACTAGGAGACAAGCATCTAAGAACCAGGAGAGTATTAGGCCATTCTTGCATTGCTATAAAAAAAATACCTGAGACTGTGTAATTTATTTTTTTAAAAAAAGGTTTAATTGGCTCATGTTTCTTCAGGCTATGTAACAAGCATGGCACTGGCATCTGCCCAGCTCCTGGGGACACCTTAAGGAACTTTGACTCATGTCAGAAGGTGAAGTGACAGCAGGCACTTCAGATGCCAAAAGCAGGAGCAAAGAGGGGCTGTGGAAGGTGCCATATACTTTTAAATTGGCAGATCTCATGAGGACTCAGAGGGAGAGCTCACTTATCACCAAGGGGATGGCCCAAGCCATTCATGAGAAATCCGCCCCCATGATCTCAACACCTCCCACCAGGCCACACCTCCAACACTGGGGATTGCATTTCAACACGAGATTTAGGTGGGGACAAATATACAAACTATATCAATGCCAGACATTAAATCTATTTGCCCCTTGATCTTGGACTCCTCAGCCTCCAGAACTGACTGTGAGGAATATATTTGGATTGTTTATAAGCCACCCAGTTTATGATATTCTGTTATAACAGCCTAAATGGAATAAGACAGCACTTTTTACAGATGATTAACTATAAGGACTTTATTTTATCTATACATTCTTAAAATATTTTTAAATTACATTGATTCTTTTTTTCCAAATTAATACAGTTTGACCACTGTAGGAAATTTGGAAAACACATGATTACATTTTTAAAAAGCATCTTTTTTAGCCATGCTATTTTCTACACTGGTACTACTTTTATAGATATTAATGCTACCACCATCACTTATTGATACTTATAGAGTATCAGTGACATAAATAAACAAGTTATATGTAATAATGTAGTAAGATAGAATTTTTAATCCTTACTTCACATATTAGGAATCTGCAACTAAGAAAGTTCACAAAACTAGTAAGTGGCAGAGCTAGTATTTAAGCCCCTGTGTGTTTTAAGAAATATTTTTTACATGAGTTCACTTTGTCTTATCTACTTTCTTAAAGGCTCTAACTCCAAATACAGTCATATTTTAAAATACTAGGGGTTAGGAGTTTAACATGTGAATTTAGAGGGACACAATTCAGCTCATAACATTAATACATGGTCTCATTTTCTTCCTTTCTTTTAAAATATATGAAAACTTTGGATTATGTTGCATATATGGTAGAGTTTTTTTAATATACAATTATCATGAGTATTTATAACTAAGTATTTTATAAATATAATTTTTAATTGCATTAAATTATTTCTTAACTTTGGATTATGTTGCATATATTGTAGAGTTCTTTTTATATACAATTATCATGAGTATTTACAACTTTATTTTATAAATATAATTTTTAATGGCATTAAATTATTTCTTAATGTAGACACCTATACATTTTATCTCATAGTCTCTTGGGATAATAAATTGCTAAAGTATTCTGTCTATTTAGAGAACAGTGTTGCTTTTAATTTAAAATTTTATTAAAGAGTGAACCTCACAGGGGTGCGAACTCCCAGGACTCCTTTATAACATCAAAAAACTTACTAAAAAATATCTCACATATAGTTAACAATATTTGTCTTAATTCAACATATATTTAAATTTACTCTATCAAAACCTTTCAATATTTGATAAACACACATAACAGATTAAAAAACTTGTTATATCTAAGTCAACCTAAGGAATTACTAGTTTACAAGCCTCGTGCTACAGAAAGAAAATTGAAACACTGTTAAAAGAAATTACTTGCTAAGTTCTGTTGTAGGTAGACTCAACATTTAAACCAGGCTTCTGTACTTCACATAACCATGTCTCAGAACTTTTGATTTTTAGTGGAAATACTGGAAAAGTTTTTTAAATTGAGTATCATTGAAATTCATTGACACACTCTCTATTTTTTTTTTGAAATGTTGTAAGTAGGGTCATCATATAATGTAGAGTCTGAACCAGGACTCTCCTCTCTCTCTCTCTCTTTTTTTTTTATAATGTGCTTTTTAACAGCCACAACCAGACATAGGTATAAATTAGAAGGGAATCAGGCAAATCAGGACCTATTATCAACATACTCCTAAGCAAAAATGTCAATTGTGGTCAAGAGACTATGAGGTCAAATCATAAGCATGGAGTACAAATATGTCATTGCTAACCACCAATATTTTTATGTTATATTTTCCAAAAGGTAGGCAAAAATGTTCAAACACTATAGTAATGGACCAAAGGGTACATGATCAAAATAGGTTTAAATAATGAGTGATGCACAATACAACTTATCATGAAATATAAAGTGCAGTTTTTAAAAAATGCACACACACATTTAATTATGTATGTATACACACAGATAAGTACAATTTATTTATACAAATAAAATGTACAAATAATCATTTACTTTTTTTGTAATTTCGCAAAAAAAAAAAAAGGAAGCAATGTCGGCTAAAAAAAGGGAAGTAAAAAACTTCAAATTCTTCCCTTCCATTAAAAAATATTAAAAAGTGGATAAAAACTGTTGGAATCAATTTTTCTTTTTTTGAAATTCTAGGTATTAACCAAAGGGTTGTGAAAAGCTTTGTTGGGAACTCTTACTCAAGAAAAACTAGGCACCATTTATTCAAGAAAAAAAAAAAAGGCTAATTCTTGGTAATAATAGCAAACTTTGTGGCATTTTAAATTGCCCCTAGCCACTCTGTACTCCAAAGCTTGGTACCCATGAAAATAACAGGCTGAGGATGAGCATGGTAGCTTATGCCTGTAATTCCAGCACTTTGGAAGGCTGGGGCAGAAGGATTGCTTGAACCCAGGAATTTGAGACCAGCCAAGGCAACAGAAAGAGACCTTGTCTCTTCCAAAAATTAGAAAATTAGTTGGGTGTGGTGACACACACTTGTAGTTTTGACTATCTGGGAGGCTAAAGTGGGAGGATTGCTTGAGCCTGGGAGATAGAGGCTACCATGAGCCATGGTCAAACCACCACACTCCCACCTGGGCAACAGAGTAAGAGCCTGAAGGAGCAGGAGGAGGGGTGGGAGGAGGAGGAGGAGGAGGAGGAGGAGGAGGAGAAAACAGGCTGCATTCCAGCACCAAAGTGTATAAAAGAGGAATTACTTGTAAAAAACTGTAATTAGTTATTTGATATGACCTGTTCCCAGTTGCTTGCTGAAAGAACAGTTTAAAAGGCTTGCACTTATTTTAACAAACTTTAAGCTAGCTTAGTACTAAAGTTGCTTCCCAGGTGGTATTGTGAAAACATTTATAAACTAATATCTTAGGTTGCCACTGCCTGAGGTACTAGATAGCAGTTGGAACAGATAATAAGCTAACCAAAAAGCTTGAGACGAAAGGCTCAGGAATGAAATGTTATTAAGTGTTTTGAAAAGCCCACCTACATGTTCAGGGCTGTATGTGTGTTCAGGAAAGATAAGAAGATTTTGCTAAGATCTCATCTCCTGCTGACCCTGAAGCTTAGTGAAAGCAGGAAATGAAGGCTAAGGCAAAATTGTTAACTGCCTTGATGAATGTGGAAAATGTGCTCCAAATAGACACAGAATCCCTCAGCAAAGACTAGGAGATTTTTTGGTTCTAGTCACTTAAAAAAAAAAAAAAAAAAAAAAAAAAAAAAAAAAAAAAGACCATTAGCTGATCATGAAGAACACATAACAGAAACTCCAGGGGACATTTGTAAGAACTAATACAAACTTTATGGACTAAGTTCACGATAGTACCAAACAAGCAACAACAGCTATAATAGAATAAACAACAGATCCTGACAAATCTCTGGGAAGGAGATAGAATCTGATTTCCAAAGTTGGTGCATTCATTATAATAGTCAAGTGTCCAGTTTACAGAATAAAAAGCATGGCAATAGACAGAAAACAAAATACATTGATATGAACTATGTCTAAGAAAGCTCAGGTTTACTGACTAAGAATTTCTAGGATTGTCATTCAAGATCTACAATTTTAATAACTTCCTTGCATGATTCTAGGTTTAGAACACATTGGTACCTAACTATATTGGGAGGTTTTTGGTTGTTTTTTTTTTTTTCAAATTTTATTTTAGGTTTGAGGGTTCTTGTGCAGGCTTGTTGTATAGGAATTTGGTGCACAGATTATATCACTACCCAGTTAGTAAGCATAGTACACATTTGCTGGTGTTTATTGACATAAAGTATTCCTAAATAATCAAATTAAAGAATTCCATAATTTTAAATGGCCTCAGTGGACTTAAGGTTAAACTTATTTTGACTGAATATTTCTAGTAATAAGAAAAAGGGCTCATTACTCACACCAGTTACAATGGGAATCTCATAAGATTTTGAATTTCTAAAGATTGAAGAATTTCACATATATACTCATTTTTGGAGGAATGTAAAATTAATATAACTATGTTCATTCTCCATTTACAGAAAGTTGTTTTCATAAGGGTTAAACATAGAGTAACATATCTAGTTAGCAACATTACTAAGATTAAAAGAAAAATATACCATTTTGTTTCATTTATAAACGTACAACACACATACACATGTACATTTATACAAATCATGTGCATAGAAAAGATATTCACCAAGGTCATCTTGATGAATAAAACATTATTTTGGAATGAATAGTTTATTTTTGTGTAATTTTAATTTATTTAAAACCACCAAGAAATTCCAATATGTCCTTTATCCATTTTCACCAATTGCCTATATTTTGCTCCACTTGCCCTACTTTCTCTTTTTTCTTCATGTATATTAAATATGTGCATATATGTGTATGTCTTTCTCTCTTGGCTTAAACAACTTCCTTTAGCATTTATTATAATGCAATTCTACGAGCAATTAATTACCTCAGTTTTTGTTTACTGAAAATATTTTTACTTGACACTCATTTTTGAAGGACATTTTTGCTGGTTATAGTAGTCTGGGTTGACGGAGTTTATTTCTCTTTTTCTTCATGTAATCTCATTTTTTCTTGATTTTAAGAGTCAATTATAGATAGTAAGTTATCATACATATTGCTGTTTCAATAAGTTTTTTTTAATTCAGAATTTTTTTTGAAGACATCTTTAGCTTTCGTCAGTTTGATTATGTGCCTAAGCATGGTTCTTTTTTTTTTTTTTGCATTTATCCTGCTTGAGGTTTACTGAGCTACTTGGAACTGTACATATTGTTTATTTGCAAAATTTTGGGAAATTTGAACTCTTATACATTGCCAAATATGTTTTTTCAGCTCTGTTAAGTTTCTCTTCTCTCTGCAACTTCAATTACTATTGTTTTATGGTTTGCAAGTCCCTATATAATTTAAATAGTTTTCTCTATTTTTTTTCTTCAGAATAGATAATTTCTATTGACTTGATTTTCTTGTGCAGTATCTAATAAAATGTTAAGTCAATTG